TCAAGCCCGTTGAGCTTCACGAGCTTATTTCTGTTGCCATCGTTGTTGTAGAGAACATGGCGGAGAGCGCCGACGGCACTCTGAAAGGAAGGGGTGAGGGGAGGAGAGGAGCGATGTAGGAGCATGAGCATGAGCACGAGCACGAGCACGAGTACGAGCACGAGCACGAGCACGAGCACATGGTGTAGGGGGATGGTTCGACCTCGAGGACGGCCTCGTTGCTGGTAGTGTCACAGAGGAGGAGGAGGGCTTGCAGTCCTCCCGTGTCAGCCACTCGGATGCGATTGAGATCATTGTAGTAGGCCAGGTTGCCGAGAGCGGCAGCAGCGCTCTCAAGCACAGCTGCATTGAGCATGAGGAGAGAGGAGAGAGGAAGAGACGGATAGAGGGGAGAGGAGGAGCAGGAGCAGAAGCATCACAGCAAGAGGGGGGGGCAGAGGGAGAAGATGGAGCAGGTGGACGAGCAGGAGCAGGAGCAGGAGCAGGAGCAGGAGCAGGAGCAGGAGCAGGAGCAGGAGCTCCCATGGGCATGAGGAGGAGCAACCTTCGTTCTTCGAGTGTACGCAGAGCCAGACAAGAGGTTCGATGCCAGTGAGTTGAGCTATTCTCTTCCTGTTTGCCTGCGGCAAACTTACCACCCTGTCGCTCCTGATTCTTCACTTTTGTCTTGCTCCCCCCCCCAACTCTCCCCCCTTCCTCCCCCAAAAAACCTCTCCTCCTCCTCTTCGACGTCCTCTCCATCCTTCCTCCCCTCCTCCTCCTCCCCCTCGTCCCCCTCCTTCTTGTCCTCCTCCTTCTCCTCCTCCTCTCCCTACCTCGTTGTACGCAAGGTTTGCTATCGCCGCTGCTGAGCTCTCCAGCACCGCGTCGTTGACGGAGCTCGCGCACAAGCGGATTAAAGGCTCTAAGCCTCCGACCTGCGAGCGAGGGGAGGAAGAGAAGGTTAGGGCGGAAGAAGGGGGGGGGGACAGGCGGGAAGGCAAGAAGGGAGGACGAGGACGAGGACGAGGACGAGGACGAGGACGAGCAGCAGCACGATGACCATGACTAAGATCAGGACTAAGACTAAGACCATGACGAGGACAGACTAGGACGAGGGACTAGGACGAGGACGAGGACGAGGACGAGGACGAGGACGAGGACGAGGACGAGGACGAGGACGAGGACGAGCAGCAGCATTATGCTCTTGAGACATCGCAGACTTACTTTGGCAATAACGACTCGATTCTCGTCATCGTCCGCCAGGTTGCCCAGGGCAGCGGCGGCGCAAGCGAGCACAGCATCGGCCTGCAAGGGGAAGAGGAAGAGAGAAAGTCAGGAGAGGGATGAGGAGAAGATAGGGGAGGAGGAGGAGGACGACGACGAGGACGACGAGGACGACGAGGACGAGGACGAGGACGAGGACGAGACCTGAGAAGTGTTGCAAAGGTTGCAGAGAGCTTCCAGCCCACCACAGGAGGCGACTCGTTCTCTGGATGCACAAGAGTCATACATCATGCGATGAAAATTTCGCTCCTCGCCCCTTTGACCCAGCATCCTCCTCCTCCTCCTCCTCCTCCTCCTCCTCTTCTACATCCTCCTCCTTCTCCTCCTCCTACTCCTCCTACTCCTCCTACTCCTCATTCTCATCAATTGCAAACTCTCCTTTATCCCCATTGACCTCCTCCTCCCTCTCATACATCCGCCCCCTCCACCTCCACCTGCATCTCGTCTCGTCCGCCAAGTTCGCAATCGCTGCCGCTGCATTCTCTTGTATCGATACATCCTGAGAAGGAAGCCCGTCACCTCAGCCCCTCTCTCTCCCTCCTCACCTCAGCCCCTCTCTCTCCCTCCTCACCTTGTCTTGCTTGCACAGACTCACCAGCTCCTCCACGCCGCCATGCTCGAGGATCTGCAGCCTCTCCTCGGACCCGCACGCCTGCGAGTTGGAAATCATGAATCACTCTAGCATACCCTGCGCGACACGAACAGCAGGAGGGAGCACGACAAGGTGGCGCTAGAGCAGGAGAAGCAGGAGCGAGGATAGCACCAGCACCAGCACCAGCACCAGCACCAGCAGCATGCATCAAGTGTTGTTGATCCTTCACCAGGTTTCTCAGTGCTCCTGCAATCGCTGCGAGAGGGCCATCTCCCACGGGTGACCGAAGTGCGCGGACGAGTTCCTGAATGGCACCATGCTCCGCCACAACTTGCCGCCCTGCACACATTTGTGAGCACAGCTAGCAGCAGCAGAGGCAGCAGAGGCAGGAGCAGGGGAAGGAGCAGGGCAGCAAGCAACAAGCATAGTACTTACCGCTCTCAGAGAGAGAGAGGTTTGAGAGCGCGATGGCAGCTCCTTCCAGAACCTTCAAAGCGCAGCGTCACACGGCGTGATGGTGAGGGTCAGAACGATATTGGAGGAGAGGGAGGAGGAGAGAAGGAGGAGAGGGATGGGATAAGAGGAGACATGTGACTGTTGGACGTGCCCTCACAACAAACATGAACATGAGGGCATGCGAGGAGAACTCACAGCATCGTCAAGAGCCTTGCGGACCAGGTTGACAAGAAACTCAACCCCTCCTAACTGAACAACCTGCGGGGTGAAGGAAAGTGAGCCACCCAGTCGTGCAAGGAAGTCAGGGACGCAAGGGAGGGGGCAAGGATAGCGTCAAGAGATGTAAGATCCAGGAGGAGTAGGAGCGAAGAGGCTTCAACTCACTCTGCTCTTGTTTGCCTCGCTCTGCAACGACAAGTCCCCGATCTAGTAAGAAGGTGTAAGCCGAATGTTTGAACCGACTGGTACCCCATCCCCCTCACCTCTCCCCCATCGTTCCTCCTGCCCTCTCTCACTTCTCATCTCTCCTCTCTCACCCTTCCTCCTCATCTCCTCCTCTGTCTCTCTCTCTTCTTCTCTCCTCCTCTCACCCTTCGCGCGAAGTTCGCCATGCTGGCGTCGACCTCCGCGCCCATCACTGAAGGGTTCATGATGACGCCCTCCCTTTCACCCTCCTCCCCGCGCTGACTCGGGTGACCCGGGACTCGGGCCCGGGCCGGAGCCACTGTGGAGTACAGTCCGACGGTCGGGGGGGCGGGCGCGGCCGTCCGCCGGGCCCTGCGCCGCCGGCCCTGAAAGCCGCTAAGTCCGGACATCTTGCAACCGCCAGGGCTCACCGCCGGGGGCGGCCGGCGCGCCGGCCCGGGCGACGGCCCGGCGGCCCGGCCCGTTTTCTCCGAAGTTCCGAAGTTCTCGCCGGGTCGACTCCTGAGTGTCAGGGTCAAGCCTCCTCGACTCTCAGGGCCTGATTGTCCTCGTACTGATCTTTAATTTCTTTTACTCAAAGTTAAGTTTCACTGTACGGTACTGATGCTGATTGTTTACTTAACTTTGGCCGAGTAAAGAAGAACTAAACTTTAAATTGAACAGTGCCAAGAACTGACGGGAAAAAGATGGTTGCTGGCGCTGATTGTTCTCGTACTGATCTTTAACTTAACTTTGAGTAAAGGCCGCCGGAAGGGGAAGGGATCACTGACCTCACCCTACCCTGCACCAGTACCGGTCACCGGCGGGGGTAGTAGGGTTCATTGCTGATCAGCAATATAATAGGGGTTTTACAGCAAATTAGATATGACCCGAGATACAGATGCCACCCACCTGCTCAAATCGCTATGAAAAGCACGGGTGGTTTCTCCGTTTCGAGAGCTCCGAGTCAAACCAATCCTCGAAACGGTGCGATACGCCAAGAGGCCTCGGCTGGATCCCTTCTCAGTCGAATCTTTGTCTCCCCGTCTCGTTTCGTCCTCTCCTGCCTGCTGCTGCTTCTCCCCTTCAAGCACAGACAGGTCAGCCCATGACATCCAGACAACCTTCAATCTCTGCATTGGCAGAGGCTCCTGGCGGTAGCGTCTTCACCTCGCACAGTCAAATGCTCCGTTCGCGATCTGGCGATTGTTGTGATTTTTTTCCACCTCTTCTATTTCCACCTTCGCACTTGTTGACCTCCTCTCAAAATCCGAATCGTAATCGTGTCATGCACGCTTGCCTGCGATGCAAGCTCAACAAGATCAAGTGCGACGACAGCCGCCCCTGCACGCGCTGCCTGCGGCAAGGCTGCGGACAAGCATGCATGGCGTACAGCGTGCAGAGGCCCTTGCAAGGGCTTTCAATGACGGGGGCGAGGAGCAGCGCAAGCGGTCTGCAGGAGACGGCTGGCCCAGCGATGAAGCGACGGTCGTGCGAGGGGTGCCGGCAGAAGAAGGTCCGGTGCAGCATGGAGAGGCCCTGCTCGAGGTGCGGGGGGAACTGGTCCAGGCGTGCAGAGACTGCCTGGCGAGCGTTGCACTACGCTGGGGGCGTGGGAGGAGGCGGTGGTGCCTGTGCGGATGTGCCGGGAGCAGGTGGAGGCGTGGAGGGACTCGTGCAGGCAGCCGAAGCACCGGAGGAAGCATGTGGTGCGGGCGTGCGAGGCTTGTCGTAGGTCCAAGGTAGGGTGCGACGAAGGCCGGCCGTGCTTGCGGTGCATGGGATCAGGGCGGGGATGCAGGGACAGCCTGGCAGGAGAGGCTGGTAAGGTAGACGGAGAGCGAGAGGAATCGGACGAGGGTGTGCAGGTAGGAGACGGGGGAGCGCTGCTTGGGGGAGACAGGTACTGGACGATAGGAGAGGATGAGGGTGCGGGGAGCTGGGAGGGGCTGGAGCTGGAGGACGGGAGGGAGCATTGGGAGGTAGGATCCGATCTCGAGATACTCCTAACGGAGAAGGAAGGAGGGGAGGAGGCAGCAATGTCGATCGTGGTGGGGCAGCAGGGAGATCAGGGGGATCAGCAGCAGGAGGAGGTGGTGGAGGAGATGGTGGAGACGCTCTGGTGTCTACAAGTGGGTACTGCTCTGTAATCTTGCTGTAAATTTTCTTTTTTTGTTTACTTTCATTGAAGCATCTTCAAATGAGGCTGTTTCATCAACTTTCAGGCCAGCGTTCGACTGATTTCAAGCAGTGTATTCCTCAAGCTTTCCTCCTCAGGCTAGACCCAACTATCAATGCGAGATATCGCGTCTTTTTCTGTGACCAGACAACATGTCTACACACAATTGCACTTGACCCTGCTGCTCTTTGTCTCTCAGTCACAGGAGTTACTCCTTTCGAAGCCGGGCGGGGTGGGAGTTGGGGCTGTTGTCAAAAGCTTTCTTCCTGAAAGCTTGCGAATCGCTCTCAACAAAGTGGTCGACTGTCACACGTGCTGTCAGACAATAACTGTTAGCCTTGTAAGGACTCGGATCAGAGTTTGGGTGCTCTCCCAGGTTGTCAAAGAGCAGTTATGCTTGAAACCGATTATAACTGCCTCAACCGACGCGGCTTATATACTCCGATAGAACTTAAAACCAAGTTTGAGTAAAGTGATCATCCGATGATGTCAGATGCCACGTGATCGTGATATCTTGGACCTGGATACAGCCGACGGTCGGGCCCTACCCCGTCAAACGATAGCAAAAAAGGGGGTAAGAAAAATATCACGTGTGTCCAATATCGGATAGAGCCGAGGGCATTGCTACAAAAGCATCCTTTCAAACCGTTGCTTGCGTCAATGCTCCATGCTCTTCTCCGCCTACTCTCCCCCGTTTCCTCCTTTCTCCCTCTCTTGCCACCCTGCTGCTCAGCTTGTCCCGTCTGAAATGCCTGCCATCCGTCCTCGCAAGCGAAGAGCCTTCGCCGCTTGCCTGCGATGCAAGCTCAACAAGATCAAGTGCGACGACAGCCGCCCCTGCACGCGCTGCCTGCGGCAAGGCTGCGGACAAGCATGCATGGCGTACAGCGTGCAGAGGCCCTTGCAAGGGCTTTCAATGACGGGGGCGAGGAGCAGCGCAAGCGGTCTGCAGGAGACGGCTGGCCCAGCGATGAAGCGACGGTCGTGCGAGGGGTGCCGGCAGAAGAAGGTCCGGTGCAGCATGGAGAGGCCCTGCTCGAGGTGCGGGGGGAACCTGGTCCAGGCGTGCAGAGACTGCCTGGCGAGCGTTGCACCTACGCTGGGGGCGTGGGAGGAGGCGGTGGTGCCTGTGCGGATGTGCCGGGAGCAGGTGGAGGCGTGGAGGGACTCGTGCAGGCGGCCGAAGCACCGGAGGAAGCATGTGGTGCGGGCGTGCGAGGCTTGTCGTAGGTCCAAGGTAGGGTGCGACGAAGGCCGGCCGTGCTTGCGGTGCATGGGATCAGGGCGGGGATGCAGGGACAGCCTGGTAGGAGAGGCTGGTAAGGTAGACGGAGAGCGAGAGGAATCGGACGAGGGTGTGCAGGTAGGAGACGGGGGAGCGCTGCTTGGGGGAGACAGGTACTGGACGATAGGAGAGGATGAGGGTGCGGGGAGCTGGGAGGGGCTGGAGGAGTCTTTTGGAGAGTCAATTGATGGGCTGCTGCTGACTCGGAGGAAGCAAGGAAGGTACGGTCGGAAGCAGGGAAGTGGATCTGGGAGGACGGGGGCATTTTTTTTTGCTTGGAAGGGAGAGAAGCTGTTTGATATGACTTGTTTAGATCTTCGAAGGAAGCTTCGATTGATCTTGATTTTCCGCTAGCTTTTGAATAAAGTTTTCTATTCATTGTCATTGAAGTTGTCAGGAGAGTCACGGCAAGGAGGCTTGACGGCCGGGGCCGGCTGACTCACGGCACTGTCGCACAGCCCAAACGGCGAGAAGAGAAAAGACAGCGAGAACCAAACCCAAGCCTGCCGCAGTGCCGACTGCTGTCAGTTAATGTCGGCCCTGATCTGGGCTGGCAGGCCCGCAGCCGCGGCCGGCCCGCCGGCCCGCCGGCCCGGGCCCGGCCCGGGGGCCCTTCTGAATTTATAAGTGGATTTTTATCATAAAACTTGCTGTTAGTTAGAGATAGTTTTACAATGTTAGTACCCCAAGTATGTATTGCTCTACATCACTTATATTATTTTAAAGTTTTAAAGGGATAAAGTGGTACATCAACACTTATTAAGACTTTTGGCGGCCCGGTAGCGGTAGGGAGGAATCAGCAAAGATTTTCTAGGCATTTTAAATATTAACAGTACCTTTTGTTGATGACTAACGTCAATCGTGGTACAAGCATCTAACCTACATCCTCCAAAACGGTGCTTTTAAACTTAAAAGGGTGTTTTAGATAATTCGGTGGCCGCAGGGCGGAAAATGCAGGGGAGGAAGGAGAAGGAAAGGGAGGCAGGAGAGGCGAGGAGGAGGAATGGTTCAGAGAAGAGGGATGTTTTTCAAGGGAGAAAGCTGGCTCAAGAGCATTACGATGAGGCTTCGCTCCTTTGTGTTGTTTTTAAGGTGTTGAAGGAAGAAGGAGGTATTGGCCAAGTAGAGCAAAGTGCTGCGAAGACTGAAATGCTGGATATGAAAGCAGATATGAAGTAAAAAGGATAGTGAGAGCTTTTATCAGATAGATTGTAGTTCGACGGTCGTGCATCTCAGCGTTCCTATGCCGTGTAAGAAAGCTCTCCAAACGAAATGGCTTCCGTTGGTGCTGGTGCGAAGAGTTATTCTACTGATTTGAACAAATTTCTTGTGCCGGATTCTTGTCGACTTGCTGGCACGAGGATGCCATGATGAAAATGCATGCTGACAAGGCATGACAGATGGAGCACAACAGCATCTGAAAAGTTTTCTGGAGGCATGACAGCAGGATCGTAAAAAAGTGTTGGAGGGTGAGAAAGATGATTTGATCGCTATTTGAAGACAACTGCCACAATGCCGGAGCAAAGCGCACACGCACAACAAAATGCCCGAGCTGAGCCAGATCAGGCGGGGGAGATGGCGATTGCATCAAGATCATACACTTCAATGACGTTTATGAGATTGAACCCAAGGTTCTTTTTGCCAGTCGTTGTTGTTGTTGTGTCGAGTTGCATGCTTTCTCTCACTCTATCACTCTCCTTTTCCTTCCTTCTCTCCTCTTTCCTCCTTCCTGCCTTTCTCGTTTCTTCTCTCCCCTGCCTAACCCCCGCCCTCGCCGTTACTTATTCCTTTGTTGTTCCTGCTACCCTGCCATTCTCTTTACTTCATATGTTGATCCGAAGCTGAACGTCTTTGCAGGCAAGAGATCCTGTGGGAGGAGTTGCAAGATTCATCAATCGCATCAGAGTGAGCTATCCTATCCTTCCCCAGCATCACCACAACCTCTTCCTCCTCCCCCTCCTCCTCTTTCTTCACCACGCCCTGGTCCTGTCCGTCGTCCTCTTTCTCATTCTCGTCTCCCTTCATCCCATCCTCTCAACTCGCTTCCTCCGTCATGCTGTTCGCCTCCTCATCACCGTCCTCTTCCCCACCTCCTTCCCTCACCCTCCTACAGAACCGTCTAACTGAACTGCTGCAGTCCTACCCCGACAGTCTCGTGCTCTTCAGTGGCGACGCCCTGGCCCCGTCGCTAATGAGCACCATTACTAAGGGAGAGCACATGGTCAAGTTCCTCAACATGATGAACATCCGCGTCGCCTGCATCGGGAACCATGAGTTCGACTTCGGGGTAGAGCATCTCACCAGGAGCTGCATTGACGAGACCAACTTTCCCTGGCTCATCTCCAACGCCTGGGACGCGAGGACGGGGGAGAGGCTGGCGGGAGGGAAGGAGACGGCGATGGTCGAGCATGGAGGATGGAGGATCGGAGTGATGGGGCTGATTGAGGAGGAATGGCTGGCGACGCTGGCGACGCTGGATCAGGACGAGGTGATCTACAGGGACTATGTGGAGGTCGGGAGGGAGCTGGAGCAGAAGCTGAGGAGGGAGGGAGCTGACGTCGTCATCGCCCTGACTCACATGAGGAGGCCCAACGACAGGAGGCTGGCGGCAGAGGTGCCGGAGCTGGACTTGATCCTTGGAGGACACGATCACGAGGTGGTGAGAGAGGAGGTGGGAGGAGTGGAGATCATCAAGTCGGGGACGGACTTCAGATACTTCTCAAGGATAGAGATGAGGGGCATCGGGGAGGGGAAGCCGAAGATCGAGTGCGTGGTGGAGGAGGTGAAGGAGGAGGACGAGAGCGACGAGGAGGCGAGCAAGTTGGTGGAGATGTACAAAGAGGAGCTCGCCAAGTCGATGGACAAGGTGAGAGGAAGAGGGGAGGTGGGGTTGGGGGTGGTGGTGGTTGGGGGGG